GGAATCAGTCAGCTACATCTGGCAACACTCGGATAGGAGTGTGAACCGGATTTGGACAGAGATAAACTGTTCCCTATTACTTTATACTCCCCTCACCACCCATTTCTTCTTCTTGTCATACATTAACTATACATATTTCATTCTATATCCTATTTGCTATACCAGTGACCCTTAAGAAATATAATAAATGTGAAATAATTCATGTCTCTTGATGTTTTTCCTAGTATATCCTTTATAGAGCACCCTCAATTTCCCTTAATTTTTCTTTTAACTTTGTCCTTTCAGTGTCATATTTTTTTACACTCAAGCACCACATGTTCCACAGATTCAATATTACAATATTCACACCTATCACATGCAAGTACTTGTATAATCTACAATGTCCACTCCTTATCCTAGTTATGATAATTTCTTTTATTCAGTTTCTTCCAATACCCCAACCTTCTATATAAATGTCTTCATTTATTCTCTTCATCCCAAGTTTTCTGCCATTTTTTCCATATTTTTTTTAGCCAAATCATTGTTTTCGCTTCTGCTGAACTTGTTATGCTTAAGCTCCAAGAAGGACTTTTATTTTGGTATAGATGCGTGACGTCACAAGCATGCGCCGCGCTGTTGTGTTTTTGATCCGGCTAAGGAAAGGTTTGTGTTTTTAAGTGTTTAAATAAACCGATTCGGTTCATTTGTGGCTTTTTAAAAGCGTTAAAATTATTGTTTTTATTTAGCATGACGTAGTTTTTTATTATCTAAGTAATTATATATATTTTTCTGTGTAAATTGACAGTGAGTTCTCAAGGCATAATAAATGAAAGCAAACGCATTTGCTTTCATAAACACAAAGGCATACACCTCATTATTTAAATATTAATGCTCGTTTTGAAGCGTAAATATTAAATATTATTCTGTTAATAACGGTGAGACATACAGTTAAGTTTTATAGTGTTTTATTACAAATATTAGTAGTAAATAAATAATAAATACATTTAGTATTATATAAATATATTAGTCTACAAATATAAATAGTAAATAAATGATTAAATACCCAAACAAAATGTTTTATACTCAAATAAACTGTATTATTTACTCTTTCAATACATTTGTTTATCAAGTCATTCAAGGCAATTGATAGTCACACTGACTGACTTACCAGCGCACTGTCTAGTGAACTGAAGAGCTGATTGACACGCACTGATGATTTACTCTCAAACCCGACAGAGCGTCAAAACAAAGATGGCGGTTGTGAAAGAGGAAGGTGAAGAGGTGAAGATTGAAGAGTTCAGCCAAGTTACTGCGAAACAATCAGGTTGGTTTTCATCCTCAAAGTTAATCATTTTAAGTGTATTATTACATTTTTCGCTTTAGAAATGAAGGAAATTCTCAGTGAACGTCATGTGAGATGTTAAAGATGTTTTAGTGTATATGAATCCTCGCGTGTGCAGACATGTTTCCATATTTCTGAGAGGAAAAATGTACGAGTCTGAGCAAAATAATGATTTAGTGTCACATTAAACTTAATATCTGTTCATGAATGTGTGGCTTTCATAATTAAACTTTACAGCTATCTGGTGGTTAGCACTGTCATCTCACAGCAAGAAGGTGGCTGGTTCGAGTCCAGGCTAGGTCAGTTGGTATTACTGTGTGGAGTTTGCATGTTCTCCCCGTGTTAGTGTGAGTTTCCTCCTGTTTCCCCCACAGTCATATGCTATGGGTGAATTGAATAAGCTAAATTGGCCCTTGTGTATGAGTGTGTATGGGTGTTTCCCAGTTCTGGGTTGCAACTGGAAGGGCATCTGCTGTTTAAAACATATGCTGGATATGTTGGCGGTTCATTTCGCTGTGGCGACCCCTGATAAATAAGAGACTAAGCCAAAGGGAAACAAACGAATGCTATCTGATGATGGTATATGATGGTATCCTTCTTCCTTCACACTGGGATTAATTAGTCAGGAATTTTCCGGAACATCAAATAATTCCTCTATTACAGACGTTAAAGTCAGGAAAGCACCTTCGTCAGTATGAAGACATTTTATAGGATTTTTGGTCTTAAAGAGAGGTTAATGATCTATGATTTATGATTTATGATACCTCTTTACATCAGGCCATCATTTCTGTCATCATTTTCTGGGGTATTTCTGAAGAATCAATTCCCAAGTACACAGTTTTAAAGTTACATTCCAGACTCAATCCCATAACACGTTCCAGTTTAAGCAAAAACTTGGGACAGCTGGTGCAAATCTACGCTGGAGCTTAGCTTGGGAACCCTGACTAGTGAAAGTTGAAGTGAGCCTTGCCAAGTATTGTTTAACCCACATAGCAGCTCTTCAGCTTCAAAAAGGAGGCGGAGAGCTTTTGACGGGAGTGTTTGATTTATTTACTTAGATCGTGCGTCTCAAACTCAATTCCTCGAGGGCCGCAGCTCTGCACAGTTTTGCTACAACCCTATCAAGCAAAGCTGATCCAAATAACCGGCGTTCAAAAGAGTCTTGAACACCTTCATGGGTTTGATCAGGGCTGGAGCAAAACTGTGCAGAGCTGCGGCCCTCCAGGAATTGACTTGATTGAGAAATTGAGACCCATGCCTAAAGCTGCGGTCACATTCGAGTTTGAGCTTGCGAAATTGTGTCGTCCGGCACGGTGAAAATGGGGCGGGATTAAACAAGATAGACATTAAGGGCCTACTCACACTATCCCATCCGTACCGTGCCCAGGCCCGTTTCCCGGATCGTTTGAGAAGTGTGAGTGCGCTGAATCAGGCTCAAGCACGGTTCACTTGGCCGGCCCTGGCCCGGTTGGAAGAGGTGTGCCTGAGCCCGGTTCACTTGGGCTTTGGCGCGGTACACTTGTGTGTGAGTGCAAAACGCGCCAAAGCCCGAAACTGAAAGCGAGACGTGACTTTTAAGGGGTTGTTTCATATGGATTTATTAATCATTCTTACTGTTCAGTGAACGCAAACTGCCATAGTTTATTAAAGACGAGAACTCCTCACTGCATGACAGCTGCGCGCCTTCAGCAGACCTCCTCATTCCTGCAGCACGAGAGCTTTATGATTGTTTATGAGCGCCAAAAGTGGTGGATCTGTTCGGCGAAATATCTGACTGCGTGTCCCCGCATCCCTAAGGACTGTTTGGCGAAATATTTGACGACATATCAAACGACTGAAACGATATAACTAGAGAAATCTCCACTGTGCTGCTGAGTGAGAGAGCGCTTCTCACTGAACAGCGCAGCAGCGATGACGTAAGCGTGTCCAGGCCCGATTGTGGTGTGAGTGCGGGCCTTCGGGGGAGACGGGAGGGGGGACAAGCGTGCTTTGGCCCCGTTCGAACAGTACCTAGTGTGAGTACGGTCTAAAAAAGCAAGCGACTGGTCCATTTTGATCTACGATTGGTCTCACGTAGTCAAGTGATGCGATTTTGCAGGTCAGAGTTCGCCAAGCTTGAACTTTTCAACACAGCGAACTGCGAAACTTGCAGCACGACCTTGCGTTTCCGGTCTGACGCATATCGTGCTTATGAATGGTAGTCTATGAGCAGAGTGACGGCAGCTTTAGATGCAATAAACTTTGTTTTAGTATTTGTAGTCTCAGTTCGTTGTTACATACAAGCATAAAATCCCCAAGATTATCAGGTTAGTGGTCTTAAAAAACATCTTAACATCTTTGCACATTTGCAACCGTAGCATCATCTGCATCGTAGCGCTGTAAACTACATCAAAACATTCATTCATTTTCTTGTCGGCTTAGTTCCTTTATTAGTCTGGGGTCACCACAGTAGAATGAACCATCAACTTATCCAGCAAGTTTTTTATGCAGCGGATGCCCTTCCAGCCGCAACCCATCTCTGGGAAACATCCACACACACACTCATACACTACGGACAATTTAGCCTACCAAATTCACCTGTACCGCATGTCTTTGGACTGTGGGGGAAACCGGAGCACCCGGAGGAAACCCACGCGAAACTCCACACAGAAACACCAACTGAGCCGAGGTTCGAACCAGCGACCCAGCGACCTTCTTGCTGTGAGGCGACAGCACTACCTACTGCGCCACTGCCTCGCCCTACATCAAAACAGAACAAGCAAATAAACATAAAGAATAAACTCATTAACATTCACAATTAATAAACATTCAACAATCCTCTTGCTCCAGCCCGCACCCCCAAAATAGCAATACCAGTGACTCGCGGCCACCACATTTCTCAGAGGTGGTTACAAATATGCAAATATTTTCATCTTGTTGTTTTTTATACAACTATTAACTACTATCTTCATCTTCTGTGGGTTATCAATTAAATATGGCAAATCTAATTGTTTAATAAGGCCCCGTTTTAGTTTGAAAACGCATAACTTGCTATGGTTGCACCTTCCGTCCACACTACCCCGGAGTATTCGAGCCCCGAAACGCTGAAAAGGCCGTTATGGTTGTGGATGGGCAAAACGGAGACATCTGAAGACATTCTGATTGGGCATTTTTCTCAATATCACGTACACAAAGTTCAGTTTTGCATTCTTTGCTTGTAAGTTCAGACATCACAAGTTTATAACGAACTCCGGAGGACGCAAGGACACGTCGGGTAAATCTTCAAATGCAGTGTACTTTTTATAATGTCATGCACCCTGGCTACGTTTCACTATCTTAACACAGGGGTCACCAAATTTGTTCCTGGAGGGCCGGTGTCATGCATATTTTAGCTCCAACCCTAATCAAACACACCTGAACAAGCTAATCAAGGTCTTACTAGGTATACTTGAAACATCCAGGCAGGTGTGTTGAGGCAAGTTGGAGCTAAACCCTGCAGGGACACCGGCCCTCCAGGACCGAGGTTGGTGACCCCTGCTCTTAACTATAAAATGAAAACATCACATAAAGCACTGTCTCTTTTAATTTTTATATCAGCAACTTAAACATAACAGACACCAAAAATGCTAAGGCAACATGTACATATTTATATCACCGTCATCTTCACTATATGCAAATTTATAACAAAATGGAGCGTAATAACTTTCATTTTCATTGAAAAATATGAAACATTAGACTCGCACTGTGTGGTTTTGGCAATATGTGCTTACTGTCAGGCTATATGGACACAATAAAGATTATCAGAGGAAATGCGTGATGAAATATGAAATGGCCAGCTCTATTATATAATAATCAGTAACTGTATAATAACAGTATCAGTATAATAACCGTACTCAAATTTAGTCCTCTGCTTTTAACCCATCCAACTACACACACAGCGAGCATACACCGGGAGCAGTGGGCAGCTATTGCTTCCAACACCTAGGGAGCAATTAGGGCCTAGGTGCCTTGCTTCAGCTAGATTTTAAAGGTGGAGAGAGTGTGGTTCATTCACTCCCCCTTCTTCAATTCCTGCTAGGACAGGGAATCAAACCAGAAACCATTCCATTACAAGTCCAGCTCCCTAACCATTAGGCCACAACTGCCTCCACAACTGATTGGTGTTTGTCTTTTTCATCTTAGAGCGTGTGTTGCTGAAAGACGAGAGGCAAGATCTGAATATAACAGAGGAGAAAGATCAGAATGAAACACATCAAAAACATTTTAGCACCTCTGAGACTGAAAAGACTCCCTCAGAGGAAAAGCCAACAGCAATCTGCGTCAATTGTGGAAAGTGCTTCCTCAAGCGCAGAGACCTTAGTGTCCACATGCGGACTCACACCGGAGAAAAACCTCACGTCTGCCAGCAGTGCGGGAAACGGTTCGCTCAAAGAACCAGCCTCACGGTGCACATAAGATCTCACACCGGAGAGAGGCCGTTCACTTGCCAGCAATGCGGGAAGAGTTTCACTCATAAAGGGACCCTCAGGGCCCACCAGAAAACTCATCCCGGAGCGGCTCCGTTCTCCTGCAAGCTCTGCGGAAAGAGTCTCTCGCGAAAAGAAAGCCTGATTATTCACATGAGGGTTCACACAGGAGAGAGGCCGTTCATCTGCGGACACTGTGGAAAGGGTTTCCGATGTAAGGTCAGCCTCGGCTACCACTTGAAGATTCACACCAGGAATAACGGGTTCGTGTGTAAACACTGCGGAGCAAGTAGTCCGGACAAGAATCAGCTCAGGAATCACGTGAAGACGCACATGGGGGAAAGACCTTACATGTGCCATCACTGCGGAAAGAGTTCGCCCAACAAAACCAACCTTAACATCCACATGAGGACCCACACCGGAGAGAAGCCGTACATCTGCCCTCAGTGCGGAAAAGACTTCACCATTAAAGGGAACCTGCAGACTCACATCAGAGTTCACACCGGAGAAAAGCCGTTCACTTGCGCTCAGTGTGGCGACAGATTCACGTACCAGAAAGACTTGAAGCGGCATTCGCAGCAGACTCATTGCGGAAAAACAAGGTCTTCAGAGGTTATTAGGATGCTGACAAAAGGACGCAGTTCCAAGGATGTGTCTGGGAGGCTGTTTAATTGTGGCTTGTGTAATAAAACGTTTCTTTCGCCGTCACACCTGAAGATGCACTTGAAAAGACACGCTTTCATGAGACCGTATTTTTGCTCTTTGTGTGGGAAGGGTTTCAAGTGGCTCGGCAGTTTAAAATGGCATCAGAAAATCTGCATTTGCGCTAAATTAATTGCGATTGTTTAAAGCCCGGGTGTTACGGTGGCGCAGTGGGTAGCACGATCGCCTCACAGAAAGAAGGTCGCCAATTCAAGTCCCAGCTGGGTCAGTTGGCTGTTCTGTGCGGAGTTTGCATGTTCTCCCCGTATTGGCGTTGGTTTTCTGCTGGTGCTCCGGTTTCCCCCACAGTCCTAAGACATGCGCTATAGGGGAATTGGTTGAACTAAATTGGCTGCAGTGTGAATCAGTGTACATGGGTGTGTCCCAGGACTGGGTTGCAGCTGGAAGGGCGTCCGCTGTGTAAAACATACGCTGGATAAGTTGGTGGTTGATTCCGCTGTGGCGACCCCTGATTAATAAAGGGACAAAGCCGAAAAGAAAATGACTAAATGTTACAAGACCTCGCTTATCTTGTTGCTATTGATTTTTTTTCAGTAGCTCTTTTTTGTGCTGAGAAATGCTAATTAAAATGGCAGACTAAACACTCGTTTTCTGATTGATATTGAATGACAAATGTATATGTAAATATATTTATTTTGTTATTATTTTATTATGATGCCACAATGATGTGACTTGAGAAAATATTGCTACTTAACGACACAATATGTAACATTTTTTCTTTAAAAATTTCATATTTTTTTAAAAAAACTACTAGAACAGTGTTATATATTTTGCTGATTTGTGTATTTACATAACCCTAAATATTCAAAATAGGAGCATGGAGCAATGAATAACATAAAAGTAATGAATCTGAATGAAAGGTGGATGGTAGAGCTGTAATCGGGCCATAAAAATTAGGCCCGAGCCCGACAGGTACATTTGGATTAACAGCTTTATGAAGCCTGAACCAGGCCCGGATTGGCCAATCGGGAGGACTGGGAGAGTTCCCGGTGTTCCGGTCTGTTTTTTGGCCGCGAGGGCCGGTGTTTCTTGCTGCTTGCACTCTCAGCAGTCGCACTTTTTTTTTCATTTATTTAATTATTTGACCATAGCCTCACTCTTTTTATTCATTATTTTGCCGCAGCTCCGCTCTTCTTATTTATTGTCTCGCAGCCCCATGAGCAAAATGCAGCCTGCAGGGTAATAATGGTGATTTAACTATCATTCCGGCCACTCGGGTGTATCTGCGCCATTGTGGTCCAGTGGTCAGCCAGTTGCGTTACGACGTCATCGATCCGTGTTCGATCCTACCCTGAGTAATTATTTTTTTTTTACATATAAAACTGTAAGGTTGTTGAAAAAGACGTGATAGTGTAATTAGAAACTGAATTGGAAATTACCTTATTTTAATATAGTCAGTCGTGAACTGAGGTGGGCCGGTCTAATGCTGTGTTCACACCAGACGCGGAACGCGCGGATAAATCGCGCCATTCGCGCGTAAATAGCCGCGTGAACATTTGAGGTTACTCGCTTCATTCGCGCGTCAAACCCCGCTTCATTCACGTGTCAAATTCACTTCAGAACAGATGCGGATTCGCGTGACGGGCAGGGCTTCTGTCTGCCCGGTGACTCTAGCTTCATAGCTAAATAGCTAACATGGATTTTATGAAGAAAATAACAGTGTTTATGTACTTTATGAAGGATGATAAACAGCGGCGATACGTTTAGGGCCGTGTCTGAGTCCACTACATCCTTTCAGAGGTGCATACAGCTCTTTAAGCTCATAGACTCCTCCAGAAACTGAACGTGGCTGATGGAGGTTTTCAACGGTGCTTCTGACTGAGCCCAGCCCAGTTTGATGAACTTCTTGTCGGTGTCTGCTGGGGGATTACCCCTGGGACACCGACAACAGGCGATACGTCACAATCACGCACCCACAAGAGCAAGCTCCTGATTGGTTAATGCGGCGCGAATGTCCGCTGAAGTTCAGATTTTCGAACGCATGTGATTCGCGCGAAACGCGCATTAAGCGCGTCAAACAAGCAAAATGCTCAATTCGCGCCACGCCATTCGCCCCATGCGCACCGCGCAATTCTCGTCATTCGCACCGCGCCATTCGCGCGTATCACGCCGCAGGATGTCTATTCGCACGTTTGCATTGACTTAACATGTAAATCACTCGCGCTTGACACGCGTTCCGTGTCTGGTGTGAACGCAGCATAATGCTTGAAACTCCAGGGGTGAAAAGGAGTCCCACTCCGGCCCTGGCCTGAACCCATTTATAGTCCGACATTATTCAAGTGTGCACATGCACACAGCTCTTTTGCCTTTTTTCAAGAATGAGTCATTTGTTTTAGCATCATTTATTCGTAATAAACGTAGGCTATAGGCCACTTTGGCTGGAACAAAGAAATAAAATAAGTCCTCGGTAACATCTCAGCACTCTGAATAGGCCTAGGTATATACACTTAGCCTTTAAATTGGCCAACACACCAATTAAAAGAAGTCTTTCTTCTTTTTTTAATGTCAAATTACATTAAAATAAATGATGACGGGTATTTGGCAATAACGAAATTAAGATAAAGGCTCTGCGGGATTTGTTTCGCCACTTCTCTTCACAATCTGGCATTAAGGCGACGGTAAAGCTGAATATTAAAAGAAGAATGCCAACATTGGCCTGTATACTCTGTCTACATTATGATTACAGGGTTTAATTAATATTAATTTATATTTTGATAATCCTTTACTCACCAAGATTAGGCTACGTGTTTTTGTGTAGGAACATTATTGAATCCACTGTAAATGGCTTTAGCGCAGTCCTGCGCTCAGGATGGTGCGTCCAGCAGCTGAACACCCTTTCATTGCTGCAGCTACAGGCCGAGATGCAGAGTTCTGCTCTGGCTAATTTTGCACGTTTTGGGAAGGATTGTTTGTTCATCCTTTACCAGCCAGGAACATCTATTTAGTTTTCCATGACAGCGGTTTTAAAATAGTGAGTGACCTCTCTACCGTAATACGCAGTGTATGAGCGACCGCCCGAAATACCTTGCCGGCTAGAATGACCGTTCTTTTTGGATGGGCGGCTAAACCTGAACGCAGTCAAAATCCGCTCTTTTTAACTTCTCCGTATTTTTTATTTCACCTTTTAATTTAATGTTGTAACAAACGATTTAATTACTTTCTCCCGCTAATCGAAATGCATCACACGACTATTCAGTTACTGCGCAAGCCAAGCCTGGCCCGACCCCATGTAAAATGATACGTCGGGTTCGGGCAAAGATCTTCAGCTCTAGTGCATGGTTCCTCATTAAATACTGTCAGTGACATGTGTGAATTTATCTATGTAGGTGCTGTACATTCTGAAAAAAAAAATTAAAAATTCAGCATTTCTAATTATAATAAGAATGATTTCTGAGGGAAAACGATGGCACATAATTCAACAATGGAAAACATCAGCTTTTAGTCATAGGATAAAACAAGTCATAAGGGTCAATGACTGAAACAAAAGCTATTGATGTATTGTTTCTTAGGTTTTGGACATTGTTTGGATATTTGAAAATCTGGGGTCTGTTTTTCGTACCTCGTTTAAATGATCTAAGATCATTTGGCAGATCCTGGATCTTTTAATCTTGATAAGTGATCTCTGGCTAATTTGGTTCTTCAAACAAGTTCGCGAATCGAATTAAAACGTCTGAATGAACTGATCTGAGATCGCTGCATGTGTTGTGAAGCACAGATCCATCGATCCTCAAAATCATGATCAGCAATGCAACGATTGGCTGACGGCACAGAAGCGTAATGACATCATCTGATTAGTATTCAATTATCCACGTGAGCAAAATTACATAAAATTCGTAGCAAACGTAAAAATGTAAGTCTGTTAAATAAGAAACGGAAAAACTTCCCACATTTGTTGTGGGCTGCAGGCTTCACACTCTCATGTGTCAAGAACATTTATCAATTTATTTAGATTTATAGTTAAAGCGGATTAAATAACTGGCTGTTAAGGATTTTAGTATTGATTAGTGATGGGTCGGTAATGAACGATTCGTTCATTTTGAACGAATCTTCAATATGACTCGGGAACTACGAGTCCTCTCAGGGAGTGATTCGTTCATCTGCGCGTGCGCACATTTGTGCAGGTAGTATCGTTAATTTCATGTCTTCATCACATTGGCAGAAGCCAATCATACGCGTTTAGAGCCGGAAAAACAATTGATCCGCTCACCTCTCGAGTCTTCTATCTGGTCTGAGTCACCTGTTCATCACAGGCCAATCACACACGTTTAGAGCCGGAGAAAGAATTGAACCATTCATCTCTCGAGTCCTCGGGTTTGAGTTATTCTGTCACGTGATGAACGAACGATCATGGCTCCTATTGGCTCAGACTGTGCATTGATTAAGATTATATGTGACTGTCAGTGTAACGTGAATGAACCCCTGACATTTGAAGACATGAAGAGGTGAGCTGAGCAAAGAGACAACAATACCTTCATAGACAAAAGAGCAGGTAAACATTGAAGTATTATTTTCTCCTTCTTAAATTCTACTTATGACTTATTTGTCATGTGATTAACCTTTTGGGCTAGTTGTAGATGTGTTTGGAAGCAATTCGTAACATTTTCATAATATTTTGGCAAATTGAACCAAATGAACGAAATGACTCGAAAAAAGATTCCTTCATCTCGATGAACGAGACTCAAAGATCCGAGTCAGTAAAATGATCCGAACTTCCCGTCACTAATATTGATGAAGGTGTCTGAAATTTTTGCGAAGCATCAAATCACCGGCTATTATTTGTCTAAACGTCCATATTAATAAATGTTCGCTTTGAACCCCTTGGGGAGAGAACACTCCGTGACAGTCTTTGTACTTCTATTTCAGAGTCTACATCGCAAAAGTTTTATTTTCATATTTTTTAAACTTATAATTAACTTATTGTTATAATTTAATTTATATTTAATTAACTTTGCCTGAAAATGACCTGATCTAATCCTGTTTATATCAAATAAACCTGCTCTGAACCAGGTTTGAGCTACCAGGGGGGTATTCCAGAAAGCTGGGTTAACTTACCATCTGCTAAACCCTAAACTCTCAGTTGATTTACCCAAAACCTGCTTACCGCGAGTATGTTGGTTCCAAAACAGGTGGTAAGAGTTAGTTAAATCAACCTCCTGAAGATAACCGCGGGTTAATGCGCGTGCACGGCACAAACCTGAAGGCATTTTCAGTAGATCGCCGAATTCACGAGTCACCATAGAAAGTCACGGTGAGAAAAAAAGGGCAACGCACTTTACAGAGGCGAAGCTGGAGGTTTTAAACGCAGAGATTACACATCTGCTTCAACGAAGGAAAGAAATATAGAATAAGAGATAAGAAAAGAAAAAATAAATAATAAGAAAGTTTATTAGTTCATTAAATTACACATGCCACCCTCCATTTTATTCATTGTAATGAACAATTAAACTACTCTTTAACATCCTTTTTGAGTATATTGTGTAACCATTCATGCATTTATTTTTCTTGCCATTAATTTCTTAAGGCCACAATATGTGTATTGACTAATAAGGCTTATAGAAATTGTAATCTTTCTGGAGCTAGACCTCTGTCCAAAGTCATTAAACACAGAAACATTCTCCTAAAAGGTAATATTTAATTACTGGAGCTCTTTATTTAACACTCTAGAATATTCTTTCTGACATGCAGCTAATAGAAAGAGGCCTGTCTAACTGCTGTGGTCCACCAGTTAGAGGAGCTGCTCTGTCCTTTAATAAAGGCTCATAAGTGGTTGAGTTTTTGACTTAAACCACACAATCTGTCACTGTTGTAAGTGATTGTTGTCAGGTAGCTTTAGCTTCTTTTTATGCTTTTTATTTTCCATGCAGACGAAGTTCCTTCTGCTTCAACTAACAAGCAGTGTAAAAATTTGTCTGCACTTTTCCATATTTGAATATTAATCTTGGATCACAAAATATTATATATATATATATATATATATATATATATATATATATATATATATATATATATAT